CCTGCAACAGTAACTACACGGGAAGTCACTTATTCAAAGGAGCCACATCAAGTATCCACAATAACACTGGGAAATTGATTTGACATTATTCATTGCAGGATAGTGATTTCTCGTTCCCCCTCATAGAGCATATAAATAACAAATCACTGACGTACTAAGGACAAGACAGGAGAGGGATGATCCTTTTCTTTTAACATTTACCAAGAGGAATCCAGCCAATAGATAATGAAACTGCCTCAATTTTCTTCCCCCATGTCAGTAATTTAAAAGGCTTCTATGTTGCAGAAAGGTAGTTATTAGTTGCAAGGGGAGTTGAAGAGAACACAAAGAAAACGATCCTCCCTCCATGGTCTGTGAACCGTTGTAAGAGAACACCCACTGAATATTATGAAGGAGACAAGTCACAAAGTGCTAGCACACCCCTTTCATCTCCTGTATTACTGCAGAGCTCTTCACTAATAGGAAACCCAGTTTTCACTGCTAGAAGAACATACTTGGCTCTCCAGGGGACAAAATATAAAAATACATGGCATGTTTAAATTAATACAGGCAATCCATAGGTGGGTTAAGTCAGCAGATGCAAACTTACAAGTCCTCCACCAGTTTGTAGAAAATGGGAGCTGAATGTTGGTTATTTGTTGCTTGTTGGCAGAAGATGGTTTACTTGCCATTCTACATCCCTTCCTTCTATGGTCTTTGGAAGCATCCAAAATAGATGATTCATTTTCAGTATCAGCAGAAAGGCACTGTAAGCTTTTGGCACAAGACTGTTATGCTAATGATAAAGGATAAAAGGTAAGCATTGCACTGCAGATGTTAGTTTAGTGTTAGGGTCAAGAGTTTTAATTGAAAGCGGAACTTTAATTTTTTTTTTTATTCCAGAAGAAACATTACTATACTTTTCTGCATTAAAGGATTCTTACCTTCCTCCAAAGCTTTACTGTACACTGAGCTGCGAATGCGCAGCTCAGTGTACAATTCTAGCATTTGCTTGGTGCCAGGATGAATTAAAAGAGAAATATGGGGTCAGTGTTTTCCCCCATAGTTCTCCTAAGGGTCACGGGAGGACATAAACTAGCGTCCTCCCGTGACCCAAAGCTCAGTATACCGTGAGCTACACTGCTATACGGAGACCGCCGCAGCCGGGACGGATCCCGACAATACTGTCGATCCACCCAGCTGCATGATTGACAGCTGGCTCTGCCTATCTAGAGGCACAGCCAGTTGTACCTGCCCCCTCCCCCGTCCTTTCCTCCAGTCAGCCCTGGAGGATCGGAGCGGGGGGAATCCCTGCAGGGAGCCGTGAGTGACAGTCACGGCTCTCTGCAGGGAGATGATCGAGGTGTTCGCTCACTTCCTGCTCTATTGAGCCAACGTGTGACAGTTTCATTGTCACACGTTGGCCCGAACTATGGGGCCGATTGATTTTCACTCACCTCATAGTTCTCTTTTAACTCCCATGTGCATGCATAGGACCTATGTCATCTCAGCATGGCCAATCAAGATAGTTAAAGATCCAAAACCCAAAAGTTGCCAAGAAGATGGCGTCTGGCGAGGAAGCTTATGAATGTTGCTTTGCAGGATCAGAGGAGAGTATAGTTTTGCTTTAGTGGGTCAGGGGTATGATTAAGGTGAAATGCTAGAGGGGGGTTATATGCAATACAAACAATATAAACGAATCAACTCTTCATATCCAGCTATGATGTCCAGCAAAGCTACAGGATATATATATTATATATATAAATTAAATTTAAAATGATAAAAAAGACTGGCAAAGTTTTTTTGTATTATTGTTTCCCTTTTAATTGGAATGCAGTCTAATTGCATGTTTCCTACAGGAGTAGATGAATAATTGAGAATAAATAAAATTGCAGCAAGAGGGAGAAAAATACTGCAGGCAAAAACCCAAACAGGTTTAAGCTACTTATATGGGCAGTTTGGCATATCATGAGTCCGCAACCTGTCTGGGCCCCTGATCTGCCTTACATCATACCAGCCATCATCTAGGATCTAGCTGGAGAGATCCATGGCATACCACGAGTCCTCAAGCTGCAGTGTAAGCGAGTGCTGAATGACCATATAGTGCAGCGAGTCTATGATCACAAAAATATGGGTAGAGCATTTACCGACTTCATTTTTTAAAGATGTTTCCAGTTCTGTGGCTGTTACCCTCAACCTATGGCATCGTTGCACAATGAGCCACTAATGCAGAACAAACACAAAGTTAATTATGTTAGTAAAGGTTACCTGTATGATTGGTTTTCACCAGAGCTGACCTTTATAAAGCAGAGCCACATGCAGTGTTGTGCAAAGTGGTCAGCATGGTAGCCAAGTGGCACAAGCTAGCACTTTAGCTTAGCAGCACTGTTGTCCTTTGTTCAATTTCAGTTTTTTTTTATTTTCTTGTATTTATTTTACGTACTCTTGTTTTCTCCTACAATGCAAAAACACTTTCTTTCCTTTTTATGGGTCCAGAGATTGACATACTACTCTTTGCCCCATTAAACAGCTCTATAAGTCTACCTCAACAGTCTTGAAAGTAGATTTATTTCTTTTTTCAATATAACACATTTAGTTTTAGCACATTTTTTTACCATACTAAAGCTTTCCAAACAAAATGAGACTTTCTATTCTTTATCGGTTCTACCCTTCAATCTAATTCACCAGGGTAGGTGCAATGTGCAGTGCTTGCAGCTAGGCAGCTTTTCAAGTCCTCCTACGCCATCCATTAATATTGCTCAGTGGAATACAGCCTGTGTAGTCTTTTGTCATCACCACAACAGCCAATGACGCAGGGCACAACAATGAATGATTCCTTTTTTTTTGTTTCTAAAAGCACTTTAAATCATTCAAATCATTTTGAAAATGCTGAAAATTCTAGTGTGGCGTAATAATATTTAGGATAGAAAAATGTTAGTGGTTGAAAATGTCAACCTTAAATAGGACAGGTGCCTTAGAGAAACACTTTATATTAAAAGCAAGAGTCCTTCGAATAACTGCCACACAAGCATCATACATAACTGTTAGCTAAAACTAAAAAATGGGCACACAATACAGTCTTATTGTATCATTTTATTTGAATTTCCCAACAATATCAAGGCCTATCTGAGTGGATGTAGATTGACATGAATGTTTAGGAAAATTGACAAAGATTGTGCAGCCTCTTCAGGAAACCTATAGTGCTCCGGGAATCCTTTGTATGAAATGTTTATTTATAAACAAAGGCCGTGCTCATATTGTCAAAAGCAGATAAATACCAGCTTTAATAATCTTTAAAATCATATATAGAATAACTAAAAACTATTATAGTCTCCCTTTGAATCTCACCATGCCAGAATTTGACATTAATTTTGACAAGATTGCAGTGAAAACACACGCATACACATTGCTATGAATAACAGTATACTTTTTATGCTTGATAGTATGGTACAGCGGTGTGAATTAACCATAAAGCTGGACATACGTTACCCAAAAGAAAATGAAAGCAAAACCCGAATTTACGCTGTATGCACCAAATATTCACTGCAATCTGTACATGAGATCGAAGAGCTTAGAAACACTTGCTGTGTGTTTACTTTAGACAGCTGGCAGGCTGCCAAGATCTGCTCCTTATAGAAAATAGCTCTGTTGTGAACTTTCAAGTTGAATTTCCCCACGATAACTACAGTAAAGCAGGCCATACACCTTACAATTATCTGCAGATTTTCTGTGGTCAGATGGAAAAAGTGCAACAGATTGGCACAGGTGGAGATTACTCCCTCCACACAGTTAAGTGTAGATGGAGGAATCTGTTGCACCTTTTCCATCTGACCACAGAAAATCTGCAGATAATTGTAAGGTGTATGGCCTGCTTTACAGAGTTAACTGGGAGTTTCTTTTAAAGTGCTTTCACTGTTTGTTTAAAAGAATACCGTATATGCCAGCGTATAAGACGGGTTTTTAGACCCAAAAACACTGCCCGAAAATCGGGGGTCATCTACATACAGTATACCGCGCTGAGCCAATCACGGCAGGCTTTGTATTAATGAATACAAAGCCTGTATTAATGAATGCAAAGCCTGCCGTGATTGGCTCAGAGTTGAGCCAATCACAGCAGGCTTTGTATTAATGAATACAAAGCCTGCCGTGATTGGCTCAGCGCGGTATACTGTATGTAGCTGAAGGATGGAACACGGAAGATGGAGGACACAGCGGGGATCGAGGACAAGGTAAGAGACTGTAATCCCGAGTGTGGCTCGGGGTTACCTCTTATGGTACTGAAAATTAACCCCGAGCCACACTCGAGAATACCGCCATGGAGGTGAGTGGGTGCATTTAAAAATTATTTTGGGCTATACTCGTCCTACACGACGAGTATAGCCCAAAACCTATATTTTAACACAAAAAGTAGGGGGTCGTCTTATACGCCGAGTCATCTCATACGCCGGCAAATACGGTACTTTGGTTTGCATAGAGTCATCTTAAGGTCTGCTGAAGGCTCACTTATGCTACAATGACCATTTAGAATCTAGCACCAGAGAGAACACACACACAGTCCTACCCAACAGGTAAAGTTCTGTGAGAAGGTAATATAACTGCTGCTCGTGCATGAAGTTGTCTAGAAGCAGCTGAACATCACACTTTTGCTGGGGTGACTATTGCAGAAGATGTAATTGTAATGCGTGATGGAACTCAGCAGGGGTGTGAAGGAAAGGGTGACAACACAACAGCTGAACTCCGAAAGCACTGTCACCCTAGTAAAAGAAGTGTCTGTGGATATACCTTGCTGCTGCAGTTTAATTGGAAGCAGTACATATAAAAAAAAAAAAAGGATACAAGTTTTTGATGATACTGAACCACGTGCAACAATAAATTTAAGTGTTTGGGTTTGGATAAACTTTAAATAGAAAATATAAAACTGGTATATCAAACATTAAGAGAAGTATTTTTCATATGCTTACTCTATATTAGTTATATAAGAAAAGAAATAAGATTATCTACAGAATCATTGAGCTACTTACCTCTGTAAAGCCCAAAAAAGCCTTCATAGCGCAACACTTTCCTAAAACAGTCAAAACTGTTTTTATACAACAGCTCTCCAACAAAGGAAGACCGCTGGTTCTGCATGCGAGTCTTCACAAGGTCAATGGGGTACACGGCCGTAGCTCCGACAGCTGAGAAGACAGAGTAAATGTACAGTTAGTACTCTATGTAATAAGTATCAGAATTTGCCTTAGATTGAGATGAGTAGATACACCACTAGTTCCTCTTGCCACATTACAGCTTTCTGTGTCACCTTCCTGCTCATTAGACTGTGAAAGATCATCACACTGAGGTTCCCTCTGTGTTCCCCTTTTCCTGCAAGAGGTCTAAACCTTGGGTCATGCAAATGTAACACTTTGTGCTACTCACATTTTAGGCTAGGTTCAGATCTGAGCTATCCCAAGACCGCATGATCGTGCACAATTGCACACAGCAATTGCCACGCTGCCCCATTGATTTCAATGGGGTTACATCTGCTCGGCATTCTCAGAAAAAAAGTACATGTACCTTTTTTTGAGACACACGACGTGCCGCTTTTTTTTTTACGCAAACGTGTTTAAATGCAAGTGCGGAATCGAGGCGGGAAACCTCGCGATCTGCCTGGCGCGACTGGGGTGCCATTAGAAAATAATGGCACCGCCAGCGCGATCAGCTGTGGTGGGTGACTCACACATGTGTGAATCTAGCCTTGACAAATTGTTAACCACAAAACACTACACCCACAGGCCTCATTTACACTGGTGTTTAAAAACAAGTGGTTGGTCTGTGTTTTTAACGCTCCATATCGCCCACCTAAAATTTAATGTAGCAGCTTGTCAGGAACCCGGATCTGAACCCAGGGCCTCTGCTGTAGCTGGCAGTGGTTCTACCTGCGGAGCCACCTTAGAACCTTGGGTAAGTCCTTGCCTGATCTCTCTGTAATCCTTAGTTAAACTTAGTTTCTGCTGAACTCTGAACTCCTTGCACCACCCTTGAACTTCCTATTTAAGCCATGCCACTGTACTTCCTGTTTGCCAGATTATTGTGCTCCTGCCAATATCTTGTTTCCTTGCTACTCCTGTGATACAATCCGCTCATACTGTACCGACCTTTGGCTGCTGATTCACCGACTGCTCTCATCGTCTTCCACTTCATACCCGATACCTTTGGCTACTGCCCTCGGCTTGATCTCTGACTACGCTTCTGCCTGCTGTTTCAGCTACTGGACTCCGAGCCTAATCCAGATCGTGACACAGCTGCTCATGCTTGTATACATGCTGCTGCAAATTTTAAATAGCATGTTGAATTCGGCAAGCAGCACCGGTAATCAATAGGACCGTGCTGCAACAGCATGGGCACGAGGTTGCAGCTGGATATTGCAATACAAAATCCCCACTGGAATAAAATTTTAAAAAACTACGCCCAGTAGCTGCTGCTTTACCGCCCCCTGAAAAGCGTTCCTCTGCAGATCACTTTTCAGAGGGGCAGTGAAACCTGCCGTCAGTGTGAAAGAGACCTTAGTGCCTGAAAACATGTGAGATTGGCAGCACGGTGCATGATGTAGATACCAAGTCAAACTCAAACTGCTTGCATTAAAAAAATTAAAATAAACTATGTATTAATGATTACAGAGATGCGTTTATAAAATGCCTTTTTTTTATCTGCCTGGAGTTCAGCATTACCAATTTCTTTTTCAATATTTTTATTTTTAAGCATTACCAACTTCAGGTTAACTATAATAATACATTCCAACCTGTGCATCACATAGTTTACCCATAAATCAATTTTAAGAGCTGAACACAATACAATTTTCCTACAATAGAGCTTCTTTTCACTTTCAGCACGTTAACTCTCACTAAGGAAATATTTGCCCTCTAACAAAGTAAACTTGTCTTCTGAGTGTCCAGTTAACGTAAAGGTATTTTCTTGCTCCACTGATATAATTTCTGCTTCCTTTTAATTTTACAGATTCCGCATTTTTCTCTCTTCTTTCATCTTAGCCTCTCTGCTGCTTGTAGCGGTGCCACCACACATAATTAATCTCTGCAGAGAACACTGTATGTGGAAATACTGTATTATTATGAAAGTTCTGTCCTCAAGACTGTCTGGAGCCAGAGGTGGCACAGCCGATCTGACGGGGCCCTGTGATCACGGCCAAAAAAATAGGCCCCCGATTCCTACTCTGGTTAACAATGCAGTGTACCTTAGCTGATCTGTACCGCTAGACACAGCTAGTATTACATGAAGCCAAGCATACAGACATATCACTCACCTCCAGCAATTGAACCCAACATGAATCTGTAGCCAGACTCCGCAGCCTGGAGCCAGATAGGCCTACCTATGTTGCTGTACGATTGCTATAGAAGGAGAAAAAAAAAATGAAAAAGTTCATGGGAACCAAAGTAAAAGACAAGGTGGTCTTGTAGATATGCAGCATGAAGTTTCCATTACTAATACATTTTTGAAATATTACACGGATTATAATATTAGCGGAAAAAATACCTGACATGTATAGCACGTCAAACAAAATTATACTATAAGTACTAAGTGCAGGATTGCTATAAATAGATGTGAATATGACAAACTGAAAAGGCTACTAGCAACATTTAACACCTTCTCATAGAGAAAAGGCACCCATTCATCTGCGTGCAATAGGACCATGGAGCTCACCTGGATGCAATAGGACCATGGAGCTCACCTGGATGCAATAGGACCATGGAGCTCACCTGGATGCAATAGGACCATAGGGATCACCTGGATGCAATAGGACTATAGGGCTCACCTGGATGCAATAGGACCATGGAGCTCACCTGGATGCAATAGGACCATGGAGCTCATCTGGATGCAATAGGACCATGGAGCTCATCTGGGTGTAATAGGACCATGGAGCTCATCTGGGTGCAATAGGACCATGGAGCGCATCTGGGTGCAATAGGACCATGGAGCTCGTCTGGGTGCAAATAGGACTATAGGGCTCACCTGAGTGCAATAGGACCATGGAGCGCATCTGGATGTAATAGGGCCATAGTGCTCACCTGGGTGCAATAAGACCATAGGTCTAACCTGGGTGCAATAGGATCATGGAGCTCATTTGAATGCAATAGGACCATGGAGCTCACAGTAGTGATGATGAGCTGAAGATTAATTTGTTAGTATGGAATTAGCAAGCTGCACATGCCAACTTGGAATTAAAGGTGCAACCTCCAGGGCTGTCATTGCTATCCTTGTCCCACTACTTGGCGAGTCACTGACTTACTATGTTCACTGCAGGTCATATACTGTACACTTTTAAATTAATTCTGAATGATCTCAGAAGTATCTCAAACTGGTGTTGTTATCAACAGAAGCCCAACCCCCATTGACAAGCCATTAAAAGGGTCTGTTTACAATGACATCCAGTGTAAACCCATATTGAGTGCAAATATGGAGTTTGCCATTACAGATCTCCTTCTGAGAATACTAGCTGCTTTGGTATCTATGGCCTCAATAAAATGACAGTCATGGTGCAAAACAAGAATGCCGCTTGTGACGTCAGTACCCCCAGTCTTCAATCTTGTTCAAGGTCAGTGACTTGGAATGTATTAGTCGTATGAGAGACAGGCAATCTGCATTTTCTGGGGAGGTCAGCAAAGGCAACCTGCATATTTCTCTCAGCAATGGGTTTCCCGTAAAAATAACTAGTCATTGAGCAATACACCTGCATAAGATGGCTCTGATGAAGGGAGACCCTCCCCAACTCATGTGCATCATGCTGTTCCTAGGTCACCGCACTAGAATTTAAATGCTGCATATACCACAGGAAATGGCTGATTTATGTCAGAATCCCTTAAAGTGAACATGTCAATCAATGCATTATCCCAAGAGGAAGGGGGAATGCATAGGCCCTTTAACAGAGAATGTGTAAATTAAAAAAGCATTTTATATAAAGTTTAATAAACATTATTATGGCTAAGCTGTTGTCTTCTCAGATAGCATCATGAGTGATGAGCTCAGATATTCTGGATCAACAGCAAAATACCCCAGATTTTATTTTATAATGCTGCCAACTATGCAAGACACACATGAAACCTGTAGCATGAATGGCTGAGGCGTAACACAATTGCTCTCACTGGCTGCTCTTTAAATCATTGTGATCTGGGTGATGACAGCACCTTTGCTTATGCCCCGCTAGTTCTATCAGGCTGTGTCAAGCTTGAGGGAGTTTCACTGTAAGGGAATGCACTCAATAGAGGCCGGCTGCCATCAGAGCAGCTCTATCCCGGCAAAGTCTACTCCAGCACTTGCTAACTAACAAAGATCACTGCAAAAGTTCAAAAGGCCAGCTATAATTATGTTTTCAGAGAGGGATTAAAACTCTCTCTGCTGATGATAGCTGCGGCACGACCATGTCATTAGCTCTTTGTTGCCTGTTTTCTCTCGGTATGTTTTACTTTTCCTGTATATGCACAGGGACACCTGCCAAAAATACCACCCACATCTCTAGATTTCATTCACCGGTTCTAAATTACATCATCAATATTAAAAACCTCTATACTTAGAATAGCAAATCTTTCTAAGTGTATTCTATTTTTGTGGTCATAGCAGTAACATAAATTGCAGCTATATTTTTGAAATGCTACAGCTCTTAGTTATACATCAATTTAAAGCTGGATTTCCATCACTGCAGCTAGTATTCACCCACACCCCCATATCAACACTCCTCTGCTTAGGTCACTCATTTTCCAAAAACATTGAGGGAGTTTATCATAACTGGAGCAGACAGAATCTGAAGCAGTTGCCCAAGGTAACAAATCAGTCTCTCTCTTCAGTTTGCTCAGGTAAGATTTGAAAATGAGACAGAGAAGCTGATTGGTTTCAATGCAAATCTGCTCCAGATTCTATTCTATTTGCTCCAGTTTTAATACATCTCTAACCCTAACCCCCCGCCCCCCTCCCCCACCCCATAGTGTTTTACAAGTCCTTCTCTGGCTTTGCATATTGGAACAATGTGTAAATAAGGTTATACTAAAATTACTATATTTTTAGTGACAACTGGGACAAGAGGAAGCGTTGCAAACAATACAAGCAAAGGTTGATTCTTTGCCGCTGAGTGAAGCCTCCTGTGCATAAAGGTAAATCCAGGCCTGCACCAATCCATCATTAATGTAATTTTAATTTGCTGAAACCTTACATATTGGGCATTCTATATGAAGTATTGCTGTTGGTCAAAACAACCAACCAGATTTATCTGTATTTAGCCCCTTTACTAACCTCTGCTAAATTTTTGTTCTTTCTTCCCCATATGTGTCTTTGGTGAAAGCTTTTTTTAGCTATCCAATACTTTTTCATGTAAACATTTTCAAATATTCAACTGAAATTTTAAACTCCAGCTAAAACTGAGGTGTCTTATTAAAGAAAATGTCCCTACTTGGGAGGTTTGTTCTTACTTCCTGTCCCAGAAAAAGTGGTCTGAGCAATAAAAACCCAGCAGATGTTCTTCTAAACCAAAATTAGTTGGAGTTCTACCTTGAATTCACCTTAAACAAGGTGGTATGCTAACTAACTAGCATCTATTACTGCTTGGAGATTCTGATGGCGAGCTCTCTGCTCCTGACATCCAAGCTCCATGAACCTGCCCCAGGGCTTTGAAAGGCAGTCTTATTCCCTCTGTTGGGCGGCTTAATTATTTTAATTTTTAAGAATCCACAAAAGGAAAGTTTGCCTGTGTGTTGGTGGCAAAAGATGCAAAGCGGAGAATTCCCTTGACTAAATACATAACATTTAGTTACGAGTGGATGCTGGTTAGTTAAATCACTCTGGCCTCCAGTGATTAGGGTGACTAAACTTCTTTCCCCCAGCCTGACTTTTTTCATTGGAGCCCTCAAGATACATGAGAAGCCATTGGCTGATTTAGCCCATCAGAATCGATCCAATAATTAGAAAAAAAAAGATAGGGGTAGGGTAGCTTATTCTTTTTAGCTGGGGTAGCTTATTCAACCTTAACTGATTTCCTCAAGGTTTCCTTGATAGTTTCATGCTGGGTTCCTGCATTCTTTAATAATAGCAGTTGTTGTGGAATAAAAACAAACAATGCGGATTAAAGCATGCAGACTTACTGTAGCCAAAAATCCCACAATAAATAGGTCTGCTTCTTGAAGTTTGAGTTATGGCAGCCTGGCAGCCATAAGGAATGATCTGAGAAGGCAGACATGCTGGTACCTTCTTCCCTGATGAGGATTCCCCGTCTTAGGAACACCTGTTTATCTTTATCCCTTTCAAAGACAATTCCCTTCCTTATAAGCTTCCCCAAGTCACAGAGTAACCCAAGGATTACACTCCCCATTGTCTGAAATCGCTTTCTTGGCTAAAACTTCTATGCCTGTAAATACTGTAATTTTCTTTGAAGGATAGGTCTCTCTCACCCAATTAAATAGTAGCAGATAACACACAATGTCTGGTTACCTGAATTTTGCTGTATATCAGTAATAACAGCGGTCTGCACTCTCTTAGAACCACATGGATCGAAAAATAATTTATCTTCTGGGGTTTCATTTAAGGAATTCAATTGCAGCAGTAGATACATTACTTCAGTAGAAAGAAAGAGCTGCTAATACTGTATTTTCTTGAAGGTAGTCATGGTCAGGTCAGTGTAAAGGTAAGCACACAACAAAATATACCAAGGTATTATTCAGTTGACTGAGCATTAATCTCTGGGGCATATGGCTGTAAACAACTGCCAGGGAGTCTGAAACCTACAGTAGTTAGTTTAAAATGTCTGTGTAATGTTTTATTCACCTCTAAACAATAAAGCAAAAATTACTGCAATATCACATGGTACTTAATAGACTGTAAGGGGGAAATCACCAGCATAACATAGCAAATAGTCACTTGCTGAGTTCAGGTAAGCTTTAAAAGGAGAACTTTGGGGTCAGTGTTTTTCCCCATAGTTCTCCTAAGGGTCACGGGAGGACATAAACTAGCGTCCTCCCATGACCCAAAGCTCAGTATACCGTGAGCTACACTGCTATACGGAGACCGCCGCAGCCGGGACGGATCCCGACAATACTGTCGATCCACCCAGCTGCATGATTGACAGCTGGCTCTGCCTATCTAGAGGCACAGCCAGTTGTACCCGCCCCCTCCCCTGTCCTCCAGTCAGCGCTGGAGGATCAGAGCGGGGAGGGGGGGAATCCCTGCAGGGAGCCGTGAGTGACAGTCACGGCTCTCTGCAGGGAGATGATCGAGGTGTTTGCTCACTTCACGATCTATTGAGCCGACGTGTGACAGTTTCATTGTCACACGTCGGCTGGAACTATGAGGTTGAGTGAAAATCACTCATCTCATAGTTCTCCTTTAAAGCATTTTGGCGGGGACACAC